CTGTAGCTGTCTATGTGGAGAAAAGGGTCCTCGAGAGCTGCGGGGTGACTGTGGATCCCGGGAGTTCGTGGAACATAGTCTTGAGACATAACCAGCTTGATTAGCATAGCTGGATCTGCTTGGTTAAATCAAAGTGGTGCAATCACCTAAAGGTGAAAACTGTCCGATTAAGATGAAGATCGATTCAATGCAAACCTGAATAGGTGAATTTTAGTCTTGGAAACAGTTTCCTTTGTGGGTCTTTATTGCTCACGTGCCCGGGAGTTCGTGGAACATAGTCTTGAGACATAACCAGCTTGATTAGCATAGCTGGATCTGCTTGGTTAAATCAAAGTGGTGCAATCACCTAAAGGTGAAAACTGTCCGATTAAGATGAAGATCGATTCAATGCAAACCTGAATAGGTGAATTTTAGTCTTGGAAACAGTTTCCTTTGTGGGTCTTTATTGCTCACGTGAAACAGCTGGTTGATTCAAGTTGTGCAGAAAAAGAGAAATAAGACAGCCTAATGTTTCAGTAGTTGGCTTCTCTCTGCATAAATTGGTTGAACTCCTAAATTGCCTCACACATTAATGAAAGATGACTAAATTGTTGAAAAGCACAGCTCCGTGCTGATGCTATAGTATGTGACTTATTTTTGGCTAGCTTTTCGGACTTTCTTTCTTAGTTCTTGCTTTGGAAATTTGCCATTAGTCTGACAGCCAATTGTAAATAAATCTTTTATATCTCCCTGTTGGTTCACCAGGATCCAGTGATTCTGTAGTTTATAAGAGTCTACACTAGGAGTTAAATTATATTAACAGTTATATCTCATTAAAGGTATTTACTCATGTTTTTCAGCATAATAACCTGATGTGGAATGCACGCATTAGAAGTTATTTTCCAAAGGTTTTCTTTCATTTGCTGTACTTCATGTTAAGGAAGAGGATTATTAAAACTGTATTACAGGTTTTGTAATTACAAGGTAGGACAGTGTAAGGCTCAGAATCTTAGCTTGCACTGGGCCCCGGTAGGTTCTTCTAATTCTCTAAGGAGACAGTTTCTTGGTTTAGAAATTTCAAGGCAGGATGTTTAAAGTGAGTTATCCAAATAGGAAGGAACTTGACATTCAAACATAAGTATTCATTATGACAGTCTCTTCTTGGTAGTGTTTATTAGCATCAAGGAGACTTACGGAAAGTCCGTATGTATGCCTGCATTTTTCCCCTTTTCACTGTTCTGTAGGCAAACTAAATATCTGAGAGTTTTGGTATATTCTTTAGTTGTGTGTTAGCTGGGTATGGAATGAAGTAATAGGTAAGCAGTGGGGAAAATACTTAAGTCTGTTACATTGAAAGAATTTGAGCAAAAGTCACACTTATTTAAGCAGCAGAGTTTATTTTGGAGTGCTATGTATGAAGAAAGCATTGGTGTAACTGTAACAAAAGCTCTATCCACCTAGTTCTTGTTTACAGGGATTGAGTAGATACTATGTGTGTGTGCCTGTTGCGTATTTCTTGCACATCCCAAATGAATTAGTTGGAGAAAACTTTTAAATTTACCCTTGTTGTGGTAAATGTTTGACAGTTATTTGTAGAATTTTCTATCTTTTTCTAGTATCTGTCATTCTTCACTCTTTCCTAAATAGCCCTTAGATGAGTTCATTAAAAGATTGATGACTACAGGAGGGGTAATATGGCCATCTGATTCCCTTGCAGAAAAGGGAAATGCTACTGTCCGCTTCAGCTGTAGGAAGTCTAAACGAATCTTTCTGAAAATTGCAGCCTGTCAGCTTGTTTCTCTGCTGTGAGAATATTTGCAATTGCATTAGTACTACCCAGGCCTATTGCTTGCTGTACTCTAGGGCATGAATGTGATGGCCAGCTCTCTTTTCCATAAATGAAAAGCTGGGAGCTGTTTGCATTGCTCTCTTCAGGTCTACTGGTGGATATTTGAAAGGCAGTTTTAAGACATGTGCTGTTGTTACTTTGGAATGTGTTTTGACAGTTTTGATCTTCTTCTCCTGGCCTTTCCCGCCGCTGTTTTTCAGGTACAAAAACTGCTCTGTATGTGTCCAGTGGATTTCCATGGGATTTTCCAGTTAGATGAACGTCGCAGAGATGCTGTAATTGCTTTGGGAATCTTTCTAATTGAATCTGATCTTCAGGTATTATTTTTCCCCTCATATTAATTGTATTTCACTGAAAGATTTTAGAATAATTCAAATTTAGTTGTTCAGTGGATGCAAAGTTGGTATTTACTGTACACTGGAATTACTGTAGTGTCAAGAACCTTAAAATCATGAATGTGTTACGCATATGCAAGCGTCCTTGCTCTAAAAAGTTGACTGAATACAAGGTCACAGATAGCAGATGGATT